CCAGAAGCAAAAATGTATAAGAATGTCTAACCCGCACCATCGAGCGGGTTGGGTCTTCAAGGGATATGGAGCAGCACTATCTTGCATCCATACAATGTCATGAATGGTATTTTGTTCCTGAAACACTGGAATTATGTAATACTGCAATTTTGTTGCTTACGTTTTCATGCGTGTAGAAGGGATTTCTTCGAAGAATTACAAGGCTAGAACACAAATGTGCTTGTGATGCCGCTCCAGTCACATCCGGCCCTGAGGCTCATTGTAAGCGAACACAATTCTTCAAGTTTACGTTCCTAGTTAAAGAGCATTGTACCGCATCCATCCATAATGTGTTCAGTGGTAACTTGCCACTGTTATTATATCTGTTAAGGAACAAACTCGTGAAGTTGACACGTTGCTTCTCGTCTGTAAATTGCAACATCTGGACACGCATACAGAGAACAGGGTGTAGATGTTTGTGGATTGTAGTTTTCAGTTTAGTATTCATATTCTTCTCATGGTACGCAATAAACCAATAGTAATCGTTCTGCAATGTTCGGAAATTACATTCGCTGCAACTTCAAGAAGAACACATGGTCATCCGGTCCGGTCACATATGCATCCAGTTTTTTTCATAAGTTTTTAGAAACGCATGTACAGTTCTTACAGGATATGGGTTGTGTCTTAGTTTAAGAATTCGTTGATAAATTTGCACTGCTTCGCGGCCGCCTCCCCCCCCCCCCCAGTTTGGAAAAAACACATTTATCAATTTATGTTACATAGAAAGTAAGACTGCGCACTCTACATATTTTCTGCTTATCGGTAAAGAATTGTTTTTACCAACGACGGGGGGGGGGGGGCACGAACTAATGATGCAAAACCTTTAACTTGCTAACTGTAAAGTCTTCTCTCCAAAAACTTGGATTGAAAGACTTCATAATCTCCTCCGCGAACCTGCAACCTTTGATCGCATTCTGGACAAAAATATCGAGAAAAAAAAGAAAAACAAAAGGTGCAACTTTTCACGCGAAAAAAAAAAAATCCATAAGTGTCAAAAGTTTTCCCCGCTTGACAAAGAGTTAAAAATACACTCCTCCTCTCTTTTCATCGCCATGGTGACGCCCGCATTCGTTCGATACGCAGAACGGCGCTTTCTGAACATGTGCACGAGCATCCCTATTGAGTGGTGTAGGAATTTATAGATGAAATCAAAAACACGGCAGAGCTGCCAGTGATAATGTATGCATCTCCACCAACCAATGAGCGCAACGGAGGTCTGACATCCGATTCTTGGTCAGCGTATGCCCCTTTGAATCCAAAATTTCAAAATTCATTTTTGCTCAAGCCAAAGTAATTTTAGTTTAGAAAAGGTATACACAAAAAATAATCGTATCAATTCAAAATACAACAAAAGCATTCAAGAACACAATAGAACAATCTTAAAATTGACACTGAAAACAAAACTTATTACAGCTCTTAGTACTTTCGGTGTAGCTGCTCGTCTCTCTTGAAGATTCAATAAAAACATTTTCAATTCAAAACTGAAAAGGAAAATGATTAAAGTTTTAATTCTTCATTTGGAGCACACATAGAATATGCATGAAATATCTCAAAACAAAAGCATAGGGTATTTGTTACATGCCCTAACTATCAAAGAGTTACAAAACTCAGCAGACTAAATATCCACCGCCCGCTTGGAGAAAAAAAATTTTGTTATGTGGCTGGCCGCCAGCGAAAGGGTTAAAAAGAAAGAAACTGATTGGATAGTATCTGAGATGCATTTATGTAAATTAAATCTGTTGTAAATGTGACATGGAGGGGAATTTTGAAAAAGAATTGGATATTTCGATTGTACCTAAAATTGCGCGGCGGATATTATACGTCAAAAATGTTTGAAATTAATATGTCTGTGGATGAAATCTTTAATTAGGCCATTTTTCAAGATACTGTTTTGGATACGTAGTGTCTTCATTGAAATTCTGGGGAAGTTCAAGTAGCTTCATAAGAATAGCACCAATTTAAATAAAAACGTGGAAAAATTTTAAAAAACAGAAAATGTGTAATTTTTTTTTTTTTTTTTTTTTTTTTT